TCATGTCGATGGCGCATCTTGGCTGTATGGAACATATAATTTTGCAATTTTTTTTATAGCTCATTCACCAAATCACGTTTTATACAAGAAATATCCACTTTTTTTGCACTTCGATACTACTTTTTCGTTGCCTTTTATCACAACTGTCTCTTTCTGAGTAACCCATTTTCTGTAAGAAGAATTTTCATCCTTATTAAATACATTAAATATCAATTCTTTCTGAAGGTATTGCTCACAAAGCCTTTGTAAGCAGTTTTCAGTCACTGGTTCACAGCATATAGTTTTTAATAGATTGCCTTCGACAATTAATCAAAACTTTCAGTTTGGAAACAAGTAGCCTCATGTTCTCGCATGTGGAACAAAGACACGTTTCTCTAGAGGCTGCTGATGGAATTAAAACCCAGAACAGCCTTAACCGGCGGGAAAAAGCATAGAAAACTCAAAATCTTTTTTCCCTGCATCAGAATTTTTTAAGGTGTCGTTTAAAAAACGTTTCTGTTTTCTGACTTTCTTGAAAGTTATAAAGTCTCTTTTTTCAGGCGCCATAAGAATATTCTCATCCTGTTCATAAAAATGCGTTATTGCTTGTTTAATCTGTCTTGTCATCATCGTATTTCTTGAAACATGTTGAAACATGTACACCTTTGTAGGAAGTTGTAGGAACCCATTTTAACAAATCTCAAGCACTTATACTTCTCAATTTTTCCTGAAATACATTTTGCAAATTCATTTATTTCTTTTCTCAATTCATAGTTTTTTTTCTATTTGGAATTTCAGTGCCTCACCAATAACCAACTTTGATTTAATAATTGGCGGAACATCAAGACCATCAATTTCTTGTTCAACGTTCGATTTAGGCCTATTTTTCTTATTTTTTTCCAGTTTGTATTTTTTCTTCATTCTGTGATACCGATGTCTGTACTTCATTTTTCTCTCCTGGCCTTTTCTAACTGTAATTTTAAAGTATTCAATTCCCTCACAGTCTTTGACCTCCTTCTTAGTATTTGCTTTTTTCCACATTCTTTTCTTGACGTCTCAGGGGCCGGAAAAACTATTACTTAGTTGTTCTGGTGGTTGGAGGTTCTGTTGCAGAGTTTTCTCTCTATTCTTGACTTTTTGTTTGTACATATATCGCTGAGAATCTTCTATCTAAGATTTTCTTATACCTTTCGCCGTTCTTCTGGGTTGTTCTTTAATAGATCTTAGCTTTTTTTCTTCCTTGCGTTGATGATACCGTTTTCTTTCGCTTCTTTTGGACGACTCGTACAATTCCACGTTCTCTTTAATCTTTTTTTTTTCTGCGCTCTCATTCTCGCTTTTATTGGCGTCTTCTTTCAATCTATGATCTTTTTGACATTGTTTGATTTTAAAAATTTGGAGAATCTTTTTTTATCATAAATGTGTAATAAAATGTATATTGTAAATCAACTGCATGAACATTAAGTATTTACCATGGACACTGTCAGATCATGGTAATGATGACCATGGTAATGAAATCATGTATTTTGTAACTTTTACTCAAATTTAATTTAAATAATGAAAAACTATTTGCATTACAAGTTTATACACTTCAACCTAAGCAAGTTATAGCAATAAAAAAATTAGGAATATATAAAAGAGTTGATATTTTTTCTTCCATGGAGTTGATGAGTTAAAAAAAATACGCACCTGTAAAACCACGTGTTGGCGACTTGTAATTAATAATTACGTGACACACACTACTCTCATCGCTACTCACTAACAACTGAGTCAGCGGTCTCTTTTCTTCCCTTAAATAATGATGGACAAAGTTGCCAAATTAGTTTTTTTGGCGTTAAAACAACGAGGTCCATGGAAATGATGTTTCCGGGTGTGACAACACTTTAACTTCAAATTTGAAAATGATCAAAATAAGTCAAACCAATTATATGCTAGAGTATAGATTATTTATTGACAACTTAGAGGATTGTATTGAAAATAATTACCCATTCTTATATCTGTCACAGGAAAATAATATTTTGTTTTTCAAAAGGTTCGGTGAGACAGTCCACGGTGATGATTATTGGGAGAAAATATAACTTTTGTAAAATTAAAATGAGAAACAAATATTGTCTATAACAAAGGAATAACTCTTAAAGTATGAGGACCAAAAAATATAATATTATGCAGTTCTATTCATTTCTGGCATGCAATAACATACTTTTACCTAATTTTGTAGAATCACCCAAATAGTAGGTACTCAATACCTAACACAACGTCTTTTAGATCAAATCAATTTCTTTAGTGAATATATTCAATTTTTTTGTCCCTTACAATATTGTGTTTTAGATTAATTCAATTACATCAATAAACAAAATTAACAGCCAGAATTTTAATAAAATAAATGTTCAGTGGGCCACCTTCTATAGACACCTTATTGAATCGACAAACTAATTTTAGAAAGAAAAATATTCCTGGTCCAAAGTTAATCTGACGAATTTCCGTTATGTGTGTTTCTTTTTTCTATTAATAAGTTAGACAAATAGAAAAATATACGAAGGTATTTTTAATTAAAAAACTTTCCGTCCTTCCATCATTTATTATGGCATATCTTAATCATTCTTAATAGTATTTTCCTAACTTAAACAGTTGCAGAGTTATTTAAAAATTTTCCCCACTCGAACTGTCTACAGAATATAAGTTTCTGACATATCGATATAGAAGAGTGGTCAAAATACTAAAACTTGTGGCAAAATAGATAAAACTTTAAAAAATACAGTACCTACTTTTAAAACAATTGACAGATATGATAAGAGTTGACAGAACATATAAAAGTTGACAGAACGTATAAAAGTTGACAGAACCATAAATACCGACAGAACTTACATAAAGAGAAATAATAGAAGACCGACAGAACTTATAAAATTCAACAGAACTTATAAAAAACGCCAAACCAAAAATTATATAAAATGACAGAAATTTACAAAAATATAGAACTTATAAAACAATTGACAAAACTTATAAAAAGATAGAAATGGTAAAAAATTTACTTATAAAAATTAACAGAATCTATAATAATCGACAGATCTTATAAAAATTGACAGAACTTATAAAAATCAATAGATCTTATAAACATCGACAAAATTTGTAAAACAATGTCGAACCAGAAAATATAAAAAAATGACAGAACTTTAAAAAATATATAGAACTTATAAAACAATTGACAGAAATTATAAAAATACAGAAATTTCAAAAAAAATTTACCGATTCTATAAAAATTGACAGAATCTATAAAAATTGGCAGAACTTGGAGAATGAGAAATGATAAAAAATTACAGGTCTTATAAAATCTACAAAACTTATAAAACAATGCCAAACGAGAAATTATAGAACTTTAAAAAACTACCTACCTATTTATAAAAATTGACAGATTTTATAAAAAATTACAGATCTTATAAAAATTGATAGAACCTATGAAACAATTCAAAGAATTTATAAAAATACAAGACTCAAAAATTGATAGGACCTTTAAAAACTGACAGAACCTCTAAGAGTCAACAGAACTTATACAAAATAGACAGAACTTAAAAACAATGCCAAACCAGAACTTATAAAAAATTAGAGAACCTAAAAATATATAATATATAAAAATCAGCAGAACAACTTATGAAAATTGACAGAAATTACACAAAAAGAAATAATATAAAATCGATAGAACTTATAAAAAATGCCAATTCAGAAATATAAAAAAACGACAGATCTTATTAAAATCGACAGACCTATAAAAATGCCAAACGAAATGATAAAAAATTACAGAATTTATAAATATGCAGAACTTATAAAACTATTAAAAACAAATTGAGATGCCCTATAAAAACTGACAGAACCTCTAAAAGTCAACAGAACTTACAGAAAGACAAATAATAAAAAATCGATAGAACTTATACAAATCAACAGAACTTATACAAAATAGACAGAACTTAAAAACAATGCCGAACCAAATCGATAGAACTTAAAAAAATTAACAAAAATTGTAATAATCGACAGAACTTATAAGAAATGCCAAACAAGAAATATAAAAAAAATTACAGAACTTATAAAATTTGACAGAATCTATAAAAATTAACATATCTTATAAAAATGTACAAAAGTTACCTATGAAAAAAATGTCAAACCTGAAAAATGATAAAAAATACAGAATTTATAAAACAATTGACAGAACTTATAAGAAAACAGCAATGATATAAACTTGACAGAACCTATAAAAGTCGACAGAACTCCCAGAAAGACAAATGATAAAAAATCAAAGGGTCTTATAAAAATCCACAGAACCTGTAAAACAATTGACAGAACCTATAAAAAGGCCAATTAGACAGCTATAACTTCCTGAGCTTCAATTTACATCCACAATTCAAATTTTCACATTCTAATGACAAGTATCGAGTATATTCTCAAATTTTTTGAAATGTTTTCTCTAAATATATGAAATCTAATTTCGTAACAACGTCTAAGATTACACAAAAAGTAATTCAGGTCTCCAGGTGATAATTATAATTTCTCGTTACAAAAGCAAAGGAGTTCACTGAATAATGAAAAGTTGGCAAGCGGTGCCCAAATTTTATTCGGTTTTAAGTTATTAACTAGTTAAATTGAAAAGTCTAAACATAAATAATTTGATAATGGCGACAGTAAACACGATTTTTCGGTTTTTGTCAGGATACTATTTTTAAATGTGGAATAAATTAAGTTTATTTGATGTTTTATTGCTTTTCTTTTACTGTAAATTATTTATCCATTATTGGGAGAAAATTAATTTTTTGTGAAAATTTAACACCCTGTACCTAAGAAGCGGAGCTAACCTAACATTTTTGTAGTATATTTTTTAAAATAAAAAAGATTTAAGATATTCCCATTTATATCGTTGGCATTACTCATATTTTTGTTTTGTTATTAACAGCATCATCAGCTGCATATTTATTTATGTCGTTATTTTATGTCTATTATATTTTTAGATAAAATTCTACTTTATTTTATTTTTATAGGTATATGGTCACCAGGACAAAAAATCGACCTATCCCCACAAGATCGAGAAAAAAGAGGTTACGAAATCCAACAGGATGAATCCCTGCCACCAGTGTGGACTCCAAAGAGTGCTAATTCCAGTCCTGTTTCCGAAAGAAAAGAATTTAGATCTGTCAATTTCCAGTCACCTGTTCTAGGTAGAAGGAACAGGACAACATCTGAGGTAAGATACCTAATAAGATAATAAAATAATAAATATATTCTAATGGTAAGTCAGTAAGTCTCATTACACCGTCAAAGTAATAATGAAAATCGTATAGAATAAAATTAATTACATTGTTGCTATTGAATTCTGTGAACTTTGGCTTGATAACTCATTTCTTTACTACCTAAGTGAAGCATTCAATCAAATTTTATTAAAAATATTGCAGCAACTTAAATTATCTTGAATAGCTTATTTATATCATCCTGTATATGAAAAATGTCAAATATTAACAAATAAAAAAATAATAGTTGGAAAAGTCTACCAACTTTATTGTATACTAAGACAAAAAGAGAATTTTAATAAAATCTACAACAAGAATTATTTTCTGAGAGCACCAAAATTTGAAAAGAAAAAAAAACTATTAGGAAATTATAGAATAAATATTTTTAATATTAAAATAAAAATTTTCAAATTAACTAAAAATAATCTTTTTTCATTTAACAGAAATATTTTCAAATAACTAGATAGAAAATAACAAATTAAATGGTTTTGTTAATTTAACAAAAGAGTCAGTAATTGCTAGGGAGGTTCTGGTTACATCTAAAAATTGGGAAAAAATATACCATAATATATATTAATTATTTAAAAAAGGTTTTTCATTAATATAGGTTTAATTTAAATAAAATTACATAGTCAACGAAATATTTAAAATAAGTTTAAAAAGATATATCTACCATACCTGATTGGAACTGAAGTAAAGACAATTTTTTGTCAATGAAATATAGTATGTTTTTTCGTCAAAGTCTCTCCCAGCTAATTTGCACTTTATCTACGTTCTTTGGACTTTGAAACCGTCTACAAGTATTTTGCCAAAAAAAGAAAACAAATCTACTTAAATAAGTGTATTTGTTCAAAACTAAGGACAGACAAAGTACTAAGTTAATGTACAAATAAATTTAGACTACTACACCCCAGATTTGAGGAAAAAGTCAAACCAGCAACACCAAAACACCATTGACTAAGAGTATGGTGATTTTCATACCCAAACCTGGAAGAATAGAATACATTATTCCAAAAATATATTGGACTGATGACATCAGTAGGAAAAACCTATTTAAAGAACATTATCTTGTGAAATTAAAAGTAAGATGGGATAAAAAAGAATATGTAGAGTTTTAAGGTATCCCGACAATACCACAGAAAACGAAAATATTTGACTATAACGAGACAGAACCTGCGCCTGATCACGGGAATTCTAATTGGTCATTGCCAAGTACGGAAGCATCTCCAATGCATGAGGATGTCAGTGAACAAGAAGATGAGATCATCAAGCACATCCTCTACGATTGACCGATGCACAATGGGCCGTGGTAAATCGTCAAACTTTTTAAATGTTACCAGCACTGCTACATTTTTCTCCAGATTTCTATAAAATTCAAGATGTCCACTATATGAAAAACAATTACTCATTACATCACAAAGTGTACTTATAGTTTTTATTACAATCTGAAGTAATTATTATTGGAGCAATTAGTCCTTATTAATTAAATGAAAAACAAAAAGGTTTATAGATACATATTTAAGGTTTCTTATTAAAATTTATACTTATACATAATTGATTATAGTAGTAATTTAACTGGCAACACTGAAAAACCATTAACGAAGTATTGCCAAATCATCAAAAATACTTTGGATTTTATAGAAATTTGGGGGAAAATCTGATAGTGTTGGAGAAATTTAAGAATATTATAGATTTCGTTAGTCAATGGCATTTCGGTGTTACCGATTTGATTTTTACCCCAAATCTCGAAAAAATCTAATTCCCATAACGTAATTTGTGTTATGTTTTACAATTTTCTTTAGCAGTACAACGAAAAACTTTTTTTTGTAATTTTCTTCAGAATCTAAGTTCGCAACCCCAGCCCCAGGCGACGCCCTGGAAAATCCCTGATTACAGCAGCGATACAGGATCGGCATCGTCATTTTTGGAACGAAGACTGCCCACCAGCCGTTCCACGCCAGCTACCGGTTTTTCCGATTTTTCTACAGCATCGCGCCTGCCCAAAGCACAAAATCCCACCATCACTCTTCTCCAAAAAGCCAGAGGTAATATTTTTTAATCTCTAAAAGTTTTAAGTATATTTCCAAGACAATAGTAATAATAATAATAGGAAAAAAAAAGGCGAAAAATTATCCGAGAATGTGAAATTCCTTGCATAACAATATTTTTGAGTACGATATTTGATATTAACCAAACGGAATTATGATAAAACACAAAAAAAGTTGAGTTTTTTTTAAGGGTTTGTTGATCTAAAGTATCAAAAGCTTTGCTATAATCCAGAATAAACAAGAATATAACTTTACCCAGCTCAGTAGCCTTAAAAAAGGTTATCCATGATAGATAAGACAGTGGTTGTAATATTGTGCCTTCTAAAGCCAGATTGAGCTGGAGTTTTTTTCGTTTACATATTTTCTAATTTTGATCTTTAACAAGCATAAATTTTAACGATTTAGAAATGATCGGTAGATTCCTAAAAGAACGCAAGTCAGATAGTCTAGTTCAGCGTTACTCAAAGTGTGGTCCGCGGAGCCCCAGGGCTCCTTGTGGGGGCTCCGCGAAGAAAATAATAAACATAATGCAGTACTATCGCTACAAAAGGCAGTGACCTTTTTTTTAGTTAGAAGCAGGATATGACCACTCTGCCTGTGGGATATAGTAAATAACAATAGACTATACAAACGCACACACAAGGACAACCCTGTTTTTACTAGCTTTTTCAGGGGACAAAAATCAGAACTAAAACACGACATATCCTTACCTATTTCCCATTACCGATACCAAAATAAACCCCAATTTCTCAATAATACCGTAACGGTAAGTAGTGAGGGCTGTAACATTGCAACCTTGAATCAAAAATGCTTATTATTGGCGGACTTGTCTTCCATGGTCTCCTGGACCCGCACGAAAAGAGGAATCTCTGTAGTGTTGCAAATATTAATTATTTTTGACATGTAGATAATGACGAATATGTAAATAAATTGATGTTATACTGTTATACTGGATATGATTTTGTCCGGATCTTTTTTTTAGAAGTCACCAAGAGGAAGGAAGATATGATTTTGACTTTTTTGTGGGGGCTCCTCTTTGTTAGAGTCACTAAGAGGAAGGACGATATGGACTTGTTTTTTTTTAGAAATGTGTTTAGGGCTCCGTCAAATATTTCGGTTTTCAAAAAGGTTCCGTCACCAAAAAAGTTTGAAAACCACTGGTCTAGTAGGTTGAATAACATTTAGCTAGCGAATTAATAAAATTTTTATCTAAACCAACGTCATGTCGTTTGGTACATTTTAGAGATTTTCGAACTGAATTAGAGGAGATGGATTTTCAGTGTACCGATCAAATTTGTCTAAACGTTTGGATATTTTTATTAGTGCCCAAATTATTTCGTATTTCAGAATTTTTGCTTGCAATTAGCTTTTGCGTAGAGATATGAGTTTTAATTTGGTTTGTAGCCGCTAAGATTTTTGCATTTTGTCGTTTGTGTGGTATCTGTATCTGTAACGTGTGGAGGGTGGGTTACCCCCATGGCACTTAGGCCTCATTAGGTCCATTGTGCATCCTCCTAAAATGATGGGCACCTCCTAGCTCGTGAGCCAGCCTACAAATTTAATGTAGTTGACAACGTCGCCAAGAGGTGCTTCTCTTATATCGGCCGGTGTTAGCCGATACTCGCCGAACACAAATCTTTTAATAAATGAGAGCTTTGAGCAATCGTAAAGAATATTCTCGATGGTCTCATCTTCTTGTTCGTACGCTCTGCAGAGTACGGATTCTAACAGCCCCATGATATAGAGATGCTTCCATACTTGGCATGACCAGTCAGAATGCCTGTGACTAGGCACAGATTCTGTCTATTCATAGTAAATTATTTGTTTGCTGCAGTGTTGTCAGGATAACTTAAGAGTTCCCTGGCAACTCTGCAGTTTTTTGTTTCATTCCATCTTTCCTTGAATTTCACAAGGGAATGTTCTTCAGTTAGGTCTGTCACTACAGATTTTGTCAAGCCAATAGAAGGGCCAGGTCCAAAAAGTATTTGGTTGGCTGCTTTCTTGACTAGTGAATCAGCCTGATCTTTGATGCATCTTAAGGTAACGACATTGTTGATGGATACTTCGGCCAAAGCTTCGTGACATTCCAGTACTAACCCTGAGTAAATTCATGGTCTGTTCAGGCTGAGTAGTACTTGTCTGCTATCTGTATAGATGAGCATGTTCCTTCCAGTGATATTGTTTCTGGTGATTTCTTTTGCTGCTATGAGAATCCCGTTAGATCTGTTTGAACTACACTGGCACTATTGCTCACAGCCCATTTTATGTTTAGTTTTAAGAATCTGGAGTATATTCTACATCCTGAGCTTTGTTTTGTTTTAGAACCGTCGGTATAGACTGTGGTATAGATATGAATCGTACCTGCCACTTCCGGCTCTTCTATTTATTCTATTATAACTGTATATGGCTTATGGAAGATATATCTCGATGAGATGGAGTTCATGTTCGCTTGAAGCAGTGGAAGCGTATCGAGCCCCTCCTGCCAAAAGCGACGTCTTGCCTCACCAGATCCTACATCAGGTTCTATACCAACCATGCGGAGGCGTGTCGTCAGAGCAATCTCCCTGATGTAAATATCAAGGGGAGTGAGACTAAATATGACTTCCATGGCTCTGGTCGGTGTTGTTTTCATGGCTCCTGTTTTGTTGAAAGATGTTTCTTTTGAATTTGTTCTAGTTTACGGATAGCTGTTAATTTTTGAGTTTTCGGTACCCAGACAACTGCACCGGAGGTCTTATAATAGCCGTGTAAGCCCATGCGACGACACTGGGGAAGAAACCCCAGGTGCGCCCCACAGTTCGGCGGCATTGTTCATAAGCAATGTATGCTCTTTTAACTGTGTTTTCTTAATGCGAGTTCCATGTTAACTTGCTGTTAAAGGTGAGACCTAGGTACTTCACCTCTGTTGCAAAGTTTAGTTTTGTGTTTAGGAGTTCTGGAGGTTTTAATTCCATTTTCGTCCTTTTCCTTGTGAAAAGGATCAATACTGTCTTCTTTGTAGTCGCTAAGATGTTTGTATATTGTCGTTTTTGTAGTATTTTGAGAGCATATAATTTATTTTTAATCTATCACCTGTAAGAAAAACTAGAAGTAAGACTTTTTTTTTATTTATTTTTCACTATGAGCTAATCTAGCTTAAGAGCAGTGCAATGCTCTTATTTTGCATGGTGAGTCTTCTCCAATGTTAAGTCCTCTTCAATCATTTTTTAGGTCATCTTGCGAGTTTTTTTCAGTCTTCTTGCATGTTGGAGTTCTAGAAGTGGATGGACTAGTGTATTTATATGTTCAAATCAAAGAACTTTGAAGACCTAAATTGCATTTTATTTTTTAAATAATTGAACACCGTTATTGAAAATTACCCAGAAATGTTGAGGGTAAAATTTTGACGTACTCTTTTCTGAAATATCTGATTGGAACAGAATGATGGTGAATCGTTTTTTAACCAAACACAATTTTATAAATATTCAAGTCAAAATTAGAAAAAATGTTGTATATAACACATTACGAAATGCTCGCTCCACTCGTCCCGCAAATACTTACTCGTTACACAAAATAAGGCATTTCGTAACTGGTTACATAAATAGCTATTGTAGTTTTTCTTTACTCGAAAAATCAAATATAATGACTCATAGACAAAATATTATTAAGCACAACCGATATATTTTAGACATCATTAACTGTATTAGATTTTGTATGTATTAGAATTAGCATTGCGAGGTCATGATGAAAATGAAGAATCCAAAAGTAAAGGACTGTTCCGACTGTTCCGAGAATTGATAGATTTTAGATACAGATGTTTAGAATCATTTAAACATAACAACAGTGTTTAAAGGCCTCTAGAACCATACAGAACTAATTATTGGACTGTACGCTTGGCGTTTACTACGAAAAAGTGACTAAAAAAAAAACTAATTATATAGTTGTAATTGCCAACCAATTGCTAACGAATTTTAATTAGTCAATATTATACGAGATATGTCATCCACTAAGGCTATAGAAAGATTTTGGAAACTTTTAAATCCTCCCGGCCACCATGCCAGCTCAATAGCAAAAAATCCTTTAATTGAAGCCCTTGGTGTAAAAAGGATGCAAGCCACAATTTGTCGTAAAGTGACTGTTTTAGCTCAAAACATCTATTAATAAGGATACTAGTCACATACAAATTAATTTACCTCTATTTCGGATTAGATGCACTATTTTTAGTAATATTTATATTTAATTTGTAGTTGACAGATTTAAAACAAATTTAATACTCAATTTTCTTAAACCTTACTATATGGCATGTATCCTTATTACGCCAAGGTCTTCAATTAATGTCACATCAAATAAGTTAATCGTACAAAGTTATGACGGAGCATCAGCAGAGCGGAGCGGTGGTGTAAATGTACAAAAAATAATTACGGATAAATTTTCTAATGCAAATTATATACATCAGATTAACCTTATAATGAGTAGTGCGGCTTCAATTAATGCATCTGTTCAGATTTTTTTGCATATTTAAATGGAATTTGTTTACTTTAAATAGGAAAAATATGAAACACCGTCCTTAGAATTACAAAGTAAAACAGAAACACAGTCAATATAAAACACAATCAATAAAAAACGCATATAAATAAAAATAACATCTATCTCAACATATAAGTAAAGCAACATTGCCAAAATAAAAATGTATCAATAAATAATATCGCTAGAAATGTCTAAAATTAACTTATTATTTTTATTTTCGCGAAATATATATTTTGTTTTTTGTGGTCGTTGTTCTATTTTTGTTTATTATATCTCTAGACCGCATCGAACACCGAATAATAAAAATCAGTTTTCTATTAATTTTCAGAGGGTCAACTTCCTAAAGGCGCTTTGTATATCGACCAAGAACAGAGGCAGTACAGGCCTAGGGACGACCGGCCTCCCATAGCCGGACCTGGTGAAGTTTGTGAGTAATTCAATATTTATTTGAATATTTAGATTTTTTCTTAGTGTACCAAAACAATATTTTTTTAATAATTACATAATTTATTAGTCCCTTATCTTATTCCGATATATTAGTGATCCGATAATCTAACCTTGAGTACCTACAATTTTTTAGCGATAATTTAATCTATATTTTCAGTATACCAAATTAAAAACGAATACACGAGCGAATCCGATAACGAAAGATCCCGAAAAATGACCGACTTAGGCCAGAGGAAATTCGAAGGAATCGGCCCTGTTACCAAAGAAGGAATTCCCCTCGTCCTTAGATCCGTAAGTGTGATTATTTTTAATTTACAGCAAGATTTTGAGTGACGCTACTCTTATAAATAACTATTTCCGTCGACCGACCATTTATTATGCATTTTAACGCACTCAAAATCGTTAATTAATGATCCCTATTAATGAATGATTTTCTATTAATCAACGATTTTATTATATGCAACCCAACGTACTTTACTATACATTTATATTGACAATTACCTATGGTGTAGGCAACTAAACATACATATTAATTTGAAATCAAGAAGGTGTGTTAATACTATCTGTCATTGTAGGTCATTATTTAATTTCTTAAAATTCAAAAACTCTATGCATAGTTTTGTTGTTTTTCGTTAAATAAATAAAAATTAAAAGTAAGATATCTTTATTTTTGAAAAGTACGGTCGACGAACTCGTGAATTAAAATGGCGATTAAGAATCTCGAATAAATAACCATTAAATAACTTATAGATATTCAATTTATTTTACGTTTGGTGTACAAATTATAGAACATTGAAGAAAATACTAATTTCAAAAATTATAAAGAAATGCTTTTTCTTTTAAATTGTCTTTCTTTTACAGGAAGTCAAAGATCAAAATCAATCAAAATGGTACAAGCGAATGTACGATACCATCCACAAACAAAAACCTCACAATGGTAAGTCGTTTAATTAATAATAATGATAATAGTCTAGTTAAAATACGGACAGAGTGACAAATTTTACATTTACTAACAAATCTAGAAAATCCCAAATATTATGTCATGAAACTCTTTAAACTTGTTCAATCCAGTTTAGACCAGTTTATAATCGTTTATGCACGGCGAATTGTGTAGCTCTAAGCTGAACTCGGTCTTCTTTTGATAGTCGTTGAAGAAAGATCTTTGTTTTAAGTTGTAATGAGTTTTTCACTAAAGGACACTAGGGGCAGTAGGGGAGCTACAAATTGTCATATTTGGTGCACCAGTGAATATACTCTCTAATGTTTTACCAACTGTGGAAAATTTCATGAAGCGATATTTGCTTATTCGAAATGAACTCAAGGTTTTGAGCTCCGGTAAAGACCCTAGTATTTTAGAAATTTCACAAATTCTTGCGAATGAAATCGAAGTGATCTGGCAAAAGCTTCAATTCCCACTATATCGAAAAATCGTATTATACAATTAATTCGAGATATCCTGGGTAAGTACCAAATTCTTATTAGATATTCTAATTCCAAACATCGACTTCGCAGATTAGAGCATTATACTTTGATGGAAGAAAGGATAAAACAATGTGTCAAGAAGAAATGAGAAATAAATTTCAACGCAAATGAAAATCGAAGAACATATAATATTTGCACAAAGAACCAGGTTCAAAATATATGGGTCACATTATACCAATAACAGGTACGGGGAAACATATTGCCATATCTATAGTTAATTTTCTACAAGAATTTAACACCAGTACAAATGAGCTTTTAGTAGTAGGCTGCGATGATATAGCGGTTAATACAGGAAGGAAGAATGAAGTTTTGCGGCATTTAAAAACAAAACTGAAACGTCTTCTGCAGTGGATGATGTCAGCTACATATGAATGAACTGCCTCTTTGTCATATTTTTCAATATCTTAACGGAGAAACTTCAGGACCTCGTGTATACTCTGGATCTATAGGAAAAATGTTGAAGTCTTGTGAAAAATTGCCCGTTGTAAATTTTGTTCCTATTGTTAGCCCTTTACTAGAATTAGACGCCGCAACTATTAGGAATCTTAGCACTGATCAAAAGTACTTATATGAAATGTGTCACTCAATTTCTAGAGGAAACTGTTCATTAGATCTAGGTAAATTATCACACGCACGATGGCTTAAATAAGCAAACCGTATATTGCGTCTTTACATCAGAAGTAAATATCCGTCTACAAATTTAAGAACAATCGCTGAATTTGTGGTAAAAGTTTATACGCCAGTGTGGTTTGACATTAAAAGAAGAAACCATCGTGTTGTGATGGAGGAAGACACGTCTTCAGAATGATACAGTTATCAAGCTACTTGAACAACGAATGAAAGGCAGTTATCGATCCTGCTATCAAACGAAATGCGTATTTTCGTCATCCGTGAACCTTCTTCTAGCAATGCTTTCTGATGATCGTCCTGCTATAAGACAACTTGGCTTACGAAGAATATTGAAGGTGCGCACAAAAATATCTACAGACGTAAGGGAGTTTGTTATTCCTGAATTAGATTTCGATGCCAGTGAATATTATGAGCTTATTGATTGGCAAAATTGCTCAGTTACAGCACCACCTCTTTTAAGTACTGCAACTGATGGAGATATCAGAGAACTTGTCCTGTAGATTTCTTTTCTTTCCCTGCCACACACAGGCAGTAGAGAGGTGCGTAAATGTTGTAACAGTAGCTTCCAATTCTGTTGTCGGCCATGACTTTAGAGATGGATTTATTCGTGCAAGGATTTATTCTAGAACCATACTACCTCGATTTAACACTAAGGCGGAATACAATGCATGAATTTCATATACCTATTTTTTTTGTTTGCTCGTCTATGTTATATTGTTAAGTTAAACTCGCTTTCCTTTATAAACAAAACATATTTAAATTGTTTATTTTCATTAAAATATTTGCAAAAGTGATACTATTTCATTTATTACTCCGTTTTATTAGATTATTCGGAAAAATAGGAAAATTCAAGCATGTGTAGAGTCCTGAAGATGACATTTCAAAAATAAAATAAAAAAATGTCTTCCTGTTTCCTACTATACATTGTGAGATGATTTGTTTTTGTTTTTTTTTATGGAGGAAAATGATACGAGGATGTACCTAGAAGGGTCTGGCCATAAGGGCAACCCAAGAAGTAAACCACAAATATCAAAACATACCCGTATTTTGTAAATCACCAAAAATGCGAAAACGCCGAAATCATACATGCATCAAGCGACTGTGATGTAAAGGATAAGGCGTCTCCTACTGAAGCAACTGATTAAGTATTCGAATCTCGGCACATACAAACTTTTTTCGTTTTTTTTTTTTATATCCTATATATTTTTACGATATCGATGATTTCGTTTTATATGAACCGAAATCCCCCGAAATCCCCCTTAATTTATTATATTCAAACAACCTTAATTTTTTGTGGCTGCATTTATTTTAGATAATTTTAATGTAAACTTATAGTCCGGAAAATAATGGTTAAAGCCGGATCCTCCGGATCACAATGACCAATTCCCTGATTTCGGCACGCGAAAAGTATTTTGGTGACAATTTCAAAATTTAGGCTATGATTAGAACAGAGGGATAAAACCCTCTCAAATTCTTCACTCTATCCGTATTTTGACTGGCCTATAAGGGAAAGACACCTACTGGTGACTTTAATAACTACTTTTAACCCAAGGAACAATTTTATCTGCTACTTTATATTAGTAGGCTTGTTGGCGAGGGATTTATATTGATGGTAATGAGGCATAAATGCAGAAAGTTTTTTTTCATTTATTTATCTTTATTTTTCTTTATTTTGCAGACGAATACGTTACGGTTCGCTATAAACAAAAGAGAGGTATTAAACAAATATTCAAAATTATTAAATGCTTCATTTAACGCTTCGCTTCTAATTCATAAAAATGCTTACGCGCTCCTAACAAAATGCTTACGTATACATTGATAATTTCGTGTTAGATTTAATAAAGACATTTTTAACAATTTTCTTTTTGTAGTTAACTAAGTTAAGTGCTTGAAAATTGCAATAGTTTTACAAAGCTCAAGACCTCGCACCCTCACTAATAATAACGCTTATATAAAATGTGATCCCTTACTGGGATAAAAAGGGCTTTTTTTGACATTTAAAATTAACAATAAATTTCAATTCAAAAGTATATTTACTAGCTAGTAAGCGCACTGCACCGTTTATCAAACTCGGACGCAATGTGTAAGTTGTTCGTTTTAAAATTATTGCGCATGCGTCGATAGGAACAAGCTTCTGTGAGTTTTAGTTTTTAAAAATATCCCAGATATTAAAAATATGCTGCTATGCATTAAAATGATAAAATATGCCCCTGTATCCATTAATAATAATTATTAATATTCTTTGCTAAATTTAAAGTAGAAGACTCACCATTTGAAGCCGCCCGCTCGTTCCTCCTAAAACAACGTACAAGAAATATCAATAAAAATAATATTAATGTATAACTTTATGTCTACAATAAAAATATAAATTACGAAAATATAGAAATAAAAGTAATAATTCAATAGTGTTAAAATACTTGTTTTGACATAAAAAATCATGATAGAATATAATATAATTATTAAAATAATTAAAAACCAAGAGAAAATATATATATTCCATATAGAAAAAATCATGCACTTGAGGGAAGTAATAATGTAGATATTGTTAAAAATATAAGTAAAAATATAAGTAAAAATATAAGTAAAAATATAAGTAAAAATATAAGTAAAAATATAAGTAAAAATATAAGTAAAAATATAAGTAAAAATATAAGTAAAAATATAAGTAAAAATATAAGTAAAAATATAAGTAAAAATATAAGTAAAAATGTAAGTAAAAATATAAGTAAAAATATAAGTAAAAATATAAGTAAAAATATAAGTAAAAATATAAGTAAAAATATAAGTAAAAATATAAGTAAAAATATAAGTAAAAATATAAGTAAAAATATAAGTAAAAATATAAGTAAAAATATAAGTAAAAATATAAGTAAAAATATAAGTAAAAATATAAGTAAAAATATAAGTAAAAATATTATTAAAAATATAAGTAAAAATACAAGTGAAAATATAAGTAAACATATGAGAAAAAGATAAGTAAAAATAGGAATACGTGTAAAACATAAACAGATACGACGATATTGAATATTTTTTTAGTACAATAGAAAATAATAAAATATTTTATTTGAGATTCTAATATTTCACTAATTTTATTTTGGTTAGTTGCCAATAAATGTTTTTAGTGTCTTTTTGATTAAAGTTTTATTTTTTATATTTGTTAGATCATTTGGATTATAATTTTTTTCTATTTGAATAGGATCTTTGTGAAATAATCAGCGCCTATATTTTTTAGATAAAATATATTATTTATACATAAATTAAAAAGTACTTCATAAACTATTTTTCTTTCATAATTCATTTCCAATATAACAATTTGGGTTCTGTTTTGTAAATAACTTTGTAAAAGAGCAAAGCAATTTTGCCTTATTCCTACCTCTTCTGTTTCTAATAGTAATGTGCGGCTAACTGCATCGAAAGCTTTTGCCAAATCAATAAATATTCACGGACATGGCTTCTCTCTCTCCAAAGCAATATGTATCTTGTTGGTTACGGCAAGTAAAGCATCTTCTGTTAAAGTGTTTTCTTTAAATCCAAACTACCTAGGCCAGAATAACCTTTACCTATACCATCGTAATTATATATCCTAACAACTTTATGGACGTTTCATTGGAGGTAATTCTGTCGCGACATCTGTTAGAATTGTACAAAATTTCATCAAAATGGCGCTGGCGCTCCCTCCATCGTTGAGTATAGAATTCTATATATATAAAGTTTTCTTTATTTTTAAATTAATTTGGGTAGTTTGCCAAATTTAAATTAATATTGTTCTATTCTCTAAATGTTGAAAATTCGTAAATAAATGTACATCAAAAATAACAAAAATCGTACATCTCATTTTTAAAACAAATATTCGGTTTATACTTAATCGACTATGGGTCCATCTATTAGTAAACAGAGAAACTACGTTCGTTATTAGGTTTCGACAACCGTTTGATGGTTATAGAAGACAACAAAATTATCAAAGACACGACTTGGACACGATGGAGCTTGCTGCCATCTATTGGTACTGTCTATTGCCCTTCAAGATAATTTGCATTGAGATTGTGCTACCAGGCTATCTAAATACAATGCCTATACATACAAGAAACCATTCTTTTTTTTAATATCGTTTCAAAGATCTTCGAGATAAATTTGTCAGTAACTAATAACCTATCACTTTTTTTAAAAAATAGGAACTATCATTATTTTTTTAAATACCTCGAGCTATATTCCATAATAAAAATTAAATAAAAATTATCCAAAAATTCAGTGAAATATTATAATAATTTGTTAACAGAAAAAGCTGAATTTAAATCAAAACACTCACCATTTGAAGCCGCTAATTCCCTTTCCACTCTCAGTCCCATTTACTGATCCATAACATCCATTATTTCGAGTGGATTTTCCTGATTAAAACGCGTCCGGATAAATCTTCAATACCCGACGACATTAATGGTCATCATATCATGTTCAATTCTATATCAACCCTTCGATACGTCATCTTTTTCAAAATAGATGTATCTCCGGCCAGTATATCTGCAGCCTTGTCCATTTAATCCTAGAAGGTACATCCCAAGACAGTATAATGTAAATCAAAGATCTACATTAAACATCAAAGGACATACATTCTAAGATTAAATGTCTTTATTGTCAGAGGTGAAATGAACATGAGCTCAAACCGTTGATATCGTGCTACCGATTAACTTGCGAAAAAATTGCTGCGATTTAAATTTGTTTCTAAGGCGATTCGCTGAAAAGAAAAGCAACAGTTAATAAGAAGTACTAATAGATAGAACATACAAGGATTCAGTACCATTTTTGTAAATGAAAACTTTGTTGCAAATATTTATCAGCTCCAATTTTGTTAACTGTTGGGAAACAGGGAAAAGCGTTTCATAAAAATTGCTGCCACAAAAATAAAACATTCTAATCAAAAGGTGACATATTTATGTGTAAGTTACTGGTTGCCAGATGTCCTGCATTTCCTAGGAGATCCCGTATTTTTAGCTAATAAATAATTTTCTCGGATTTTAAATATGATTTCAGTTTCATAGTTTTATAAATACGTAAAAGGCAATAAAAATGCTAAACCTTACGCATCTTTTTTCAAAATAAGCAAAATAATTTGTATGTTTATTTCTATGAAACTTTATTCAAATATTTGTTTTATTTCATATGTCTTGGACAAAAAAAATTTCATTTTTTTTTTCAACTATGTTATTTATTGTTCCTTTATGTTAAAAATAATCTGGCAACCCTAATGATACGTGTCCCTATAAAGATTAAAGTGGACTGTAATATATGTATGTATTTTTACGTGAATTCATTTTAAAATGCTACTCGACTTTGCCAAACTATTTTAATATTAACGATACGATACGTAAAACAATACAATGAACAATAATACAATTTACAATGGTCTTCTTTATGCGGCGTTGCCAAGTAATATAAAAATACAGGATTTGCATAATTTTTATTAAACTGCAAATAATGCCAAACATTTACGACTTTTTTGGTTAGGTATCTTTATTTGAAAGTATAAAATGGAAAAAATAATTGGAATTGCCTACTCTGCACCAAATTTAAAAAAAAGGTACTCTGCACTAATTGTTAAGTAATATTTTTTACATTTTTGACATTTATAATTACATCTGCCTATTTCTTACACCAATCGATTAAGTTTTATTTTTAGCTTCAAAAAATTATTATAATGAACCCCAAAAGTAAATTAATTTCGAATTTCGACTTGGTAAAAATGAATAATCAATATAAGGGCACAATGAAGATCCAAAGAGGTTTATAAATATATTTTCTTTGTACATTTTTTATTTTTTTTATTGTACTCCTAAGTGAATATTTGATTTTAGGCAAAACTCGTATACAAGATAATGCAAAATTTTTGAATCTCACAAAATCATTTATGGAACTTGTTATTTTTTCTTTAAAATACAAAAAAAATTCTATTTAAAACCAAAAATATTAGTAAAACAATTTTATATTGATCCGAGTTGGGTATTCATTTACTAAAAGTTATAAAGCAAAATTATTATTTAATTTCAACTTTTTACAATATAAAAAAAAAATTAAAAGTTGGCACTTAAGGTTATTTAGAAATAACATTCAAAATTTGTATAACGTAATCTGTTAGCTTAAAAGATGATTCCATGAATGTCTAAAATCTTCTTTCTCATCGGTTCGCTCTCTATTCTTTGGGAAAAATCCTCTAACGCTGCAACACTCCTCAAAGCTTCAGAAAAATTTTTTATCCGATCGGATTCTTCAACTTCTGTTCCTGTAGATAAAAATAATAATTTAAGAACAGATCGTTTTGAAAAGCTAATGGGAAAATAATTTTTTCTATCTGTTATTTTTGTGATGGTAACTGAAATGTTCCTACCTTATTTTTATTATGTATTTTAACTTTATTTCTACCTGGCCAAATGCCCAATTAAGATGGAAAGAATAAATAAAAAGTTGTTTATTTTTTTAGAGAATTAGAAAAATCGCTTACCAATTCCAATCCCATCATTATCGTCTGCCACAGTAGTTTCCACGGCAGTTTTTTCTAACACCAGTTCTTCTATGGACTGAAATCCAGCATTTGTTGTAACGGCTTCATCTAATGTGATGTAATCATGAACATTACAACCGGGATTAATTTCAGTAATTAACTCTTCGACTTCTTTTGTACTTTCGTCAATTTCGTCAACATTTTCGATTAGGTCAACGTCTCCA